TTCACGTTCTGCATGTTAAGTAATTTGTCTGCCTTGGATTGAACGATTCTGCGCAAAGTCGTAAGCCTAGAATATTGCGGTTTTTGAATGCTCCAGGAAATTTTTATTTATTTCGAATTATTTAATTTGTAAGCAACTCACTTATGTAATTTTTCGTTAAATAGTTTTCGTGGTAACAAAAAATATTCCAAAAATTGCATATAACAGTAAATTTTGGTTAACTTTACTAATTTACATTCTAAACGGCTATTGCAAAGATCTAATGGTGTTCTAAATTACTTTTGTTTATTAGTCTGTTGAGTAGAATATTTACATTATATATATAAATATAATATTTTATGTCAGGGAGAGGAGTTTTGTTAGTCTCAGGGAGTGAGTATACAAAGCAACATGTCTGATCACATTCAATAAAACTTGAAAGTATCATTAATAATATAAAGTGGGTGAGTTGGTCATATGTGGTTTAACGTCACACATTTTTAAAATTTTTTGGTGTAATTAGCATTTCTAAAGAGCCCACGTAAAATAGAATGATTAGAAGCTAAGACTGCTAGTAGAAAAATGCATTAAAATCTCGTAGATCTATTATATCGCTCTTACAAACTTATTACATGATAAATATTATTCTCAAATATTTAAATTTTAAAGAAATATTATTTCTTTTTTGATTTCCGAATTTTAAAATGATTTTAATGGGAAGTGCAAAAAGTTTAATGATTTTACTTAACTTTAATTAAATACTTATATCAAATCATAAACTCATAAATATAGAAAGCAGTACACTCCTTTGTAAAAAGCATTACATAGCACACGCAAAAAGCATTATAATACCAAGTTCGCCAGATAAACTATGAGAAAGATATAGGTACAGAAATAAACGGGGTAAAAGCTCCCAACAGAGCGGAGCACGACCATGGTTGATCTTTCGATCTGCAGGAGTTAGATATACAAAACTTAAAATTGCAAATACATATTAGATACATTAAAGCTTAAACTATTGTCATATCAGTAAAATCAAGGTATTATCTGTTACAAAACAACAAAGCTTGGCAAGACGGAACCAACAAATATAGAAATAGCCAGTCTGAGATAGTAAAGTTCTACAAATACTTAGGATTTATCATTAGTAAGAGCTATAACATAAAGCAATCATAAGAAAATTTTGTCTATTCATCATGCGAATAGAAAGTTCTGTTTATAAGATCTTTGTATAAGCAGTTGTCATTAAAGCACATATATATATGCAGAAATAATCTGAAGTTGCAGAAACAAATTTAGTCTAACATACCAAAACAATGAGTGGTGTAAATAACACACATTAAAACCTCTTGATTGAAACAGGTAGGGCCTATACTCACAGCCGATGAAGACTACACCTTTATTAATATACGAAAAGCCTAACCCTTGGAAATCAGAAGTCTAGGAAGACCACGACCATGTTCTACGAACAATAACTGGTGATCAACAAGAAAGGAAAAAAGTATTTGGAGAAAATTCTTTAAAGTAGTTAGGATTCGACCCTGAATAGCGACTGTTGGTGATTCATTAAAAACACAAAATGGTTACTGAAATAGGTGGAGATATAGTTTTAAACGGCTTATTATAAAGTGCCACATAGCCTATGTGTTTTTGTTTTCTAGAATTCAAATCTAATTTAGTTTATATCATATATAATGCTACATTATAAATTTTAAGACGAAAGCTGTGAACAAACAAGTCTTGTGAGATTAGGAATGTTAACAAATCTTGATGCAATAAAAAAAAAAATTGCATAATTTTAAAATAGCCCCATAAGTTTATATAAGTAGATATTTTTTTAGTTCTAGTAACAATTAAAGGCTTCGTTGAACTTGACATTTAAGGTACACTTCACTTGAATGCATCTCAAGTAGTTATGACGCTCTGCTTTTGATGCAATTAAAAGCACTTAAACTCTAAACTTTAAAGCTGAGATTGCTTTGAAGTATTTCGCACTTATCTGCCCGCTTTCGGAGTTACTTTAATTAAACTTGTGAATTTTTATTTGTTTTAAGTTACAACGTAAAATTGAACGCCTCTTGCGTCTCAGCAATTTTAATTAGTTGAACCGTCAGACTACGACGTTAAACGTAAATTTGCTACCAACTAAATTTTGCTGAGACCGACAATAAAAGCAGCAGCAACAGGTTGGGTGATGGTCGTGAACTGGGTCAATGTCAAGTCGAAATAATGTATACAAATTTGTAAAAACACTAAAAAAACTTACACAATACCAAAAGCAATAATATATCTAATTTGTTTTACTGATTTTTTGTATCTTGTATCTTTGTACAATTTTATGCTACACAAAGAGTCCGAATCAAAGGGCTACGCCAAACACTCCACAATTATTATGAGTTATGTAGAGCTTTTATTGCTTTTCATAATTTAAATTTATTATTATTTTTGTTTTCTCATTTTGTGATTTTATTAAATTATAAAGTTTCCATTATTCTGATATCATTGTTTTTGTTTTGATTAAGATCTTTGAGATATATCAATCGGATTTGTGTTTTGTTAAGCAAATAAAACTGACCTTTGTAACCAAGGCTGACGACGTCTTAAACAAAAGTGTGTCTCACAAAAGTCACACTTATTAAAAATATGAAAAGTTATAATAATTATAATGGAAGTGATAATTAAAAATTTAAAAGCAATAACGAAGTCAGCGGAAGGAAGTGCTCCATTTGAAGGCTTTTACACTTTATATGCAAATAAACAGATTTATAATTCTCTTGAGAAAAACGCTTGGGAAAAATATTTTAGTTATTAACAAGTTTGCAAAATACATTCTATAAGAATACACATTATATGGTGTATTTTATTATATTATATAAATTATTTTTTATTATTAATACATCCCAATATAATAAACTATATTAATAGCTGACAATTTTTCATATATAATAATTACCTATAATAATTACGATTAAACATGTCAGTGCAATATATTAGGGAAACAGAAATATTTTAAAGTGCTCCATTAGATACACAACTTTATCATACACAGCTTGATCACTATTTTTGCACAATAGATCAAGCTGGTTGCAGTGCATAAAGCCTTAAGCCTAACCCATAATCCATTACCATTACCATCATCATACCTACTCTATCATAGCTTAGTATATAATAATAACACTGTCCCTATAACTACCCTGACAAGGCTACGTCTCAAATTACTCTCGGCTATTTGCCAAAACCAAGCACCGTGACGCCTTAGAGAAGAATACAAAATAAATTTCACGAAGCAAAATGTTCCATACGACCGAAAGGTGGAAGCGACTTATAGACAGCCTATGCCCAGTATAAGAGGCTGCTCGAAATCATAGGGTATACTAAGCTATCTTATGGCTTGACTGCAGAATATGGTTTCTGTATAATCATACTTAGTTTTCAATGCTAGAGATATACTATGTACATGTGAGCCTTGTATTCACTCATCTTTTCTAAATTCTGTCAAAGATAAGTCCACTCTAATTATCGATTATAAAAGACACTAACGACAATTTTAAAGTCGTAATTGAGAAGATTTATAACACTTTAATTTTTTTTCAATCGAGTTAAAAACCAGGGCTCAGTTTCATATCAATTTTTTGAGGGTATCTAATTTTAGATTATTGTTCTAACATTGAGAAGCAGGCCTTCGAGCCAAACAGATATATTTTTATTATATTATTATAATATTTTCAATTGAATAGGAACGAAGAAATGCCCTGTTCGAAACATTATTAAAAATGGAAGGTTGCATTAGATTGCAGCTAGTAATTCTCTCATAGGTATACTCTTAGATATCCTATTTGCTTCTCAATATGCTAATTATTATTTTTCCTTTTTTAATCGCTAATGATGTTATTGTCTTGTTTATTGTATTTTGAATTTAATTTAATCTATTAATTACAAATAGGATCATACGCAAGTATTCATTTAATAGAGTTCAAATTAAGTAAGTATAAGTAACAGAAATAAGGACAAACCAATAGTTTAAGCCCTTAATAGAGGGCTTAAACTTAATAAGCCCTTAATAGAGGGCATAAACTTAATTGGTTTGTCTTTATTTCTGTTTTTCCTAGAATCTAGTACCAAAACTTCATTTACTATAAAGATGCATGAATGTTTTCCAGCCTTCAGAAGTAAATTCCAGGACTGTTTCAATAATATCTTCTACAGGTCTGCATTGAATGCGATCAATTTACTTAAATTTCTAAATCAATACTTACGTATATATATAGATATATATAGTATATATATATATGTATATAGATATATATAGCATAGTTCAGAATATTAACATATTATGAAACTATATTAAAGTTTCATACATTCAAAACATAATTAATAATTAGTAAAAAATAATTGTTTTCAAATATAATTTTTAGTTATTTAATAATGATAGTTCAGCCCCGGTTTTTACTAACAAAATGAGAAGAAGATATGTACAACTTAGGATTAACTTTTACTTTATTATTTTATGAAAAAAATACTTTATGTTTTTATACTTTCCATCACACGAGTATAACGGCAAATCATCTCAAAACTTTACAAATTGAGTTCATGGACCTCTCCGTAATGCAAAAATAAAAATATTGTTATAAAAATATTTACATAAGCAAATGTAAATAAATTATTATTTCGAAAATATATTAAAAATGTCATTTAATACATTTTATAAGCGAAAACAATAAAATATAAATATTAATTTATGGCTTTTATCACAATTCATTGTAAATAACTAATTAATTAATTAATTCAATTAATTAAAATATTTCAATTGTCGATCATTAATAGAAATAAAAACACATAATTCATTGCTACGTCATTAATTAATATTAATAAGTGAAACCAGCATTTGATTGTTATATACAATATATGTAATACAATTTCATGTAATAATTTTTTTGTAATTTTTTTAATATTATTTATATAAAATATATTATGCAAAAACAAAATTTTATAAAAAGCTTTTCTTCTTCTCTCTCTTGCAGTTGCCGCCACGGTTAATGAAAATAGCATTCATAGTTTGTCTGATTGTGGTACTCCTTTCACACACCAGCGACAGTGCACAGAGTAAGTAATATTTTCCCCTACTAAAAAACATACAAAAAACTTAGGGGGCACCCGGATTTGAACCAGGGACCCTTCGAACTGCAGTCGAATGCTCTACCCCTGAGCTATACCCCCTGCTTATAAGCTGTAGACAAAATATGATATATAAGTATAAGTTACGAAGATGCAAGATCAGCTTAAGGACTTATGGGGCTCCATTAATGAATAAAAAAGAATTTAAAAATTTAATTAAATCCATTAGATAATGTACATATAAAACATAGCCAATTCAGTTGAAACAAATTTTTCTTTTTGTATATTTTATAGAGAAAAAAGCAATAAAGCGTGGGTGTTGCAAGTTAGTAGCTTTTTTACAATTTGAAAAGGCCAAAGTTTATCACAAACCGAGCGATCATACGCAGAGTCGATGCTTTAAAAATTTTATTGTTAATCGCATTAAAAAATCAATATTCAAAAGAAATATTATTTTATTGCTTTAATGCAAAATGTTTTGCAATTTATGTGATTTACATTACTCATTTGTATTTTTAGTAATAAAAAAATAGAAATCATTGAAGACATGGGATTACAATTGGAAATGTACTTCCAACAATAACATTGCTAAAAGTATAAATACAATCAAGTATTAATTGTTTTTAAAATAAATTTATCAGTTAGATACAGTGAACATAGAACAAGTGTATAATATACAACATATACGTATGTATCTTTTTTCCATTGTGCCTATCAGTAAAACATTCAATGTACAAATGAGTTGAGATAAATTGATATTCATTCAGTGAAATTATTGTATATCAATATATATCAAAGATAAAAATTACAAAAAAAATAAGAAAACAAAACGTTTAGATCAGTGTTTCCCAACCATTTTTGTGGTACACGTATGCACCACCTATGAGCTTTTCCAGACGTCTTGTCTCTTAGCGTATTTTAATATGATAACAGCTAACATGTCAACAGAAGTTATAGCTTCTATATTTCTTGTTGTATGCACTCATAAAGTTTTGCTATAACACAGTTCAAAGGTTCAAGTCTCACTGCGCTCTTAGCACATTTTAATGAGGTATCGACTAACATGGCAACAGAAGCTCTGATTTTCTTTACTTGTAAAATATATTTCTTACAATCTTATCAAAACTAAATCCGAACATCATAGAACCTTTATCCATCCGTGAATATTTTTCCCATAGATCATAGATGAAGCAGTTGAAGGACACAAGAAATTAACATAGTTATATTATAGCAATTTCGGACTGTCCCATAAGGAACCTAATTAACTCATTTCATAAAAGCTGACTAAGTCTGAAAGTAAAAAATACTTGAAAATTGAAAAAATCTGATGGAAGTAATTATGAAGGATGTTTCTAATTTATTTTATTGGAAGGAAATTCTGTTATGACTTCTTGGACTTCTTCGGATATTGGATACCAAATATCCATCAACAGTGGGCTTAGAAAACATCTATTGATCCCTATTGAACCCAACGTTTACTTAATTTGTCATCAACAAAATCAAGACTTCTGTTGTTTATTTATATATAATCATAAAAATTTGATATATTATTAATTGTAACGAACCTATAAACGACAGCTAGAAACTCACTTCTTGACGGCTATAAGAATCGTTTTCATCCTTAACGTTTTTATAGACCACTACTCGGTGTGGGTCAAATTAATATTTACAATAATTTTCCAATATGCACTGTGAATGCACTTGTTTAAGAAATTCGATAAATTCAGCATTCTTAAGTCCGCTTCTTCTGTGTGTGATCTATCGATTCTCCGATTCCTTTTTCATTTTTACCGTTTTGCGTAAGAAATCCCATTCATTAGGCGGGCTCCAAACAACTTAGTCAAGTGCAATGTACTGTATAACATTGCACTTTGACGAAACAGATGTGAGTCCTATTGTGGGATAACTGCTAACTAAAGCAGCGCTGTAATAAACGAACTCTAAAATTGTCATGATCGAGTTTTAAGGGACCCATAAACTTTTCTAAATATTTTGCATTCAAAACTGTATAACTAATAACAGATTGGTAAATAGAACATTAATATATTGAATATCAACGTTTTATATATTTTAAATTTAATATCTCTTGTTAATAGATTTTTCTTTAAAAGCTTAAGATTTGTATAGTACGTTTATTAAGTTGAAGTAATCAAATCAAATTTATGCGGATGATTCATTGTACTAGAGAATGAGACGTCTAGACACCTGAATTCTTGTAGTTATTAAGAAGTATATTTACTTTTCATGCAAGTTTATGATTATTCCACAAAATGTCGCTTGAGGCAATACGTTGGATTGTGTAGATTTGCCATCTTGGAAGCCACATCACATTTATTCAAAACCAATAAATAGATAAAATTATTGTATAGTGAAAATAAAAGTGTTCATCTAAAAATTTGATTGTAGACAATTTATCAAATGTCTTGATAATTCACTAAATCATCTACGCCAAACTGTCGATTCATTCAAACAGAATATTGGTGAAATGTTTATACACAATATATTAGTAGTTTATCATATTTTCCATATACGATGGACCATCAGTAGGACCTTTCAATCAAATCTACTCACTTCTGTCAGAATTTTATAATAAAGAATGCTTATTATAACAAAAAGTTATTTTTGTTAGCAAATGTAGATCATATAAATAGAACACAAGCAAGCCTATGAATAACCTGCTAAGCAAATATAAGCTCATTAGCTTGCTGAAGATCCCTGAACTTTACATAAAAAAATAATGTAGAATACTGACATTAAAATATAATTCCTAAAACAAAATCTCTAGAATAACATCCATTTTTTCCGTTCAGTTACTCTTTGATAGGTTAACGTAGAATTTTTTTAAAAATTCTATTCTATATCTAAAATGACTTTTAGATATATAAAATCATTAATCAAAGCAAAAGTTGCTTTTCAAATCTAATTGTTAATGTTTTAACAGTTGTTATGGTGATGATGCATTGAAGATAATCATTATGATATTGTAGGTGTCTGCGTCATGATGACCTAAATATTTTTACATTTGCATGATTAAAGTATCAATCACGTTTTTTATTTTTATTTTTTTCTACTTAAAATGTTAATTATATCTTCCAAAGAAGATCGAACAACAAAGAAACTTGAAGTGAGGCATCTGTGACAGCATTTAAATGCCAATTTTCAGGCAACAAAAAAGGAAAAATTAATTTCAATTTTACTTAAAAAATCATCTTCATTATGTTTTTTAAGAAATAATAAAAAATCGTGCAAGCAATTACTTGGTTAAAAGGCTTCTAGTCATTGCCGTTGCAGTTGCATTTCCATTCCGAACCACAATTACAGCTGCCAATTACTGGAGAGGCTTCAGAGAACACCACAGCAACGTGAAGCTCATAAATTGAGCATATCTAAGTATTTTAATCACAAATTGCGGCACGTTTCGCTTTGATAGCCTAATTTGTCAATACAATAAAAAATAATGAAATGTATTCAAATAATATAAAAAAAAACGTTTAAACAAATTTATTATCTTAATCCCGCCAATCACTTACATTTCGACGGCTCAATATCGATTTGAGTCGGTTTATGCTGAAGTTTGATTAATGATGTTACCCAAAACTGCTGATGGCAGTGAAAAATTGCGGAAGTTGTTGATTTATCTTGTTATTTCCATAAAAAAAATTCGAACATTTTGATATCCATTAAAAATCTCAAATAATTTTGCAATTACAACCAGTAATAATGAAGGTTAAGTGGCAACTGTTCGGTGTTAATGTTACTAGGGCGTTGGCATTACTTACTGCATTACTCTCTTCCTTAAATAAATAGAATATCAATATATATTGGTTTTATTGTTCTTAATAATAGTAATGAAAATATTTTAATAAATTATAGCAAAAACGCGCAGAAGATTACGTCGTCCTACCACAGCGCCTGCGACTAGCGAATCAGGGTCGAGCACAAACTTAGTTGCAGCA